GCATCACTATCAAAATGGAAATCGCTGAGATTCAGATCCAAAACATTTGAAGGAACTGGCGATGAAGAACCTCTAGCAGTCGTCTCAAAGGCAGGTGTCTCCCCTTGAGAAGGAGAACCACGAGGAGTCACAAAGAGAGTCGGAGCAGAGTCTGAGGCAAGTGAAGGCAGGACCCCGGTGGCAGTTAACACTGAAGAAAAGATAAGGAAGTCTTATTAGGGGTGAGGAACAGTAAAGCCATTTGAGTAAAGATTTCTCACAGATAGAAGTACATGACAAACTTCAGGAAGAAAGATTACCAAAGGGACCTCTAGCAGTCGTCTCAAAGGCAGGTGTCTCCCTTTGAGAAGGAGAACCACGAGGAGTCACAAAGAGAGTCGGAGCAGAGTCCGAGGCAGGTGAAGGCAGGACCCCGGTGGCAGCTAACACTGAAGAAAAAAAAAAAAAGAAGTCTTATTAGGGGCGGGGAATAGTAAAGCCATTTGAGTAAAGATTTCTCACAGATGAAAGTACATGACAAACTTCAGAAAAAAAGATTACCAGAAGGAGAATCATTATGCAAAGCGGGAGCAACTGAAGGACTCCTAGAATCAACAAAGTCGCTTGGCCATACAAAGGACACCTGATCGATCTCAATGTCTAATGAAGCCTGAACAATAGCAGTCATCCCTGAAGAAAGGAGGAGGGCCGGAGGATGAGAATCACCATAAGTGCCAGAGCGAATCTCAGAAATTTCTAGCACATCCGGCTCCACACCATTCCCAGAGGCGCACCTCATCTCTACATTGCTTCTAGAAGCATGGCCTGCGACATCAATTTATGTGGCATCAGTCCCTTCAGCAATCTCAACATCAGAATGGCAAGCCCCGACAACCTCATCACCAAGATAGCGCTCCTCCTCAGTTACGATAGGACGGTGACGACACGTGCGCGGGATAAGGTCACAAAAATGATCAGAGGACTCAGCCTCATCATCATCTATAACCGCTATACGAGGGGTGTGCATCTTTACAAGTCTTGCAGACAAAGGGAGGGTGTCGTCCAAGTCTGAATCCGGCCTGGTGGAGGAAGCATGGCCAGTAGCCATGGTACTGAGAACGTCAGCAGCCGTAGGGTCCTACACAACAAGGGAAAATAAAAAGTGTTCATTTAAGAAGGTCTAGTCGCAAGAAGGAAAGTAACTTCAAATCAAAAATTTCGGGTACCTCATGAAGCCTTTTGGAAAGACGAGGAGCGAAAAGACTGGCATCAGAAGCCCTCTTGTGAGCCATCTTCTTAAGGCAGGTCGTCCAAGGACCAGAGGCCTTATTCAAAGGGACTAGCTCTGGAGAAGTAATTGCCAAGCTAGAAGCAAACACCTGAGCCGAGGGGTCAGTTGGAGTAGATGAAGTGAAGAAACTCTCGTACATGTGATCAGATTTCAGGCTCTCGGGCAGCCGAAGAGAAGAGTCCTTCTTATAAATCGGCAGAGGCAAACATATGGTCGGTCTGCTCTGGACAAATTCAATAAATGCATCGATAGTCTTCCTCCAATATCGCCTGAAAGAAGGGGTGAAACCCCCTACTCGGCTCAAGCCTAGCATCCTCAAAGAGCTGGATATAGGAAGCATAGTGTGTACAAGTCCGCGACTGAAGCGCCCGTAGCCCTCTGAAAATGATAACAAATGAGGTGCTGGCCCCGAGGCACATTGGTCAAATCCGAATTGACATGCTACACGATCAGGTCTATAAACGGCAATATCAGTGCCTTCCTCATGCCATACCGGTAATGAACCCGGACGGGTCATTATCACCATATCAACAAAGTGCGCAGGGATGTTCTTCGGTAAAGGAAAGGACACCGAGCAGGAGGAGCCATGATAAATAAGTGGTGTTGCCACACCCACCGGTGGGCATACATACGGTCGTGCCACAAAGCATCGGGGATCATCCACTAGAGTATTCAAGGATAAGGTGGAAATGGTACGTGACCAACGTGTAATCAACGGCTGGCAAGACTTCGCTTTCTCAAAGGTCCGAGACCCATCAGTACCGAGCATGGGGATACCATCTTTATCTACTATCTCCCGAAGAACCTCTGCCTCGAATACAGTCGGAGTGGGGGCAAACTTTGGGAACCTCTCGAAGAAGAAACAAAGTAGGAACTGGTTGTGAATGAAGGAGACAGACTCATATCGACCAACGGAGCGAACCATGTCTCGATGTAGTAGATCCAGTCGGTAATAAAGATTCCCAAGAAATAGCAGAGCCAAAGGAATCCGATCCCCTCTGAAGAGCCTAACTGCCAAGGGGAAGACAAAGGGATTGAGAGAATCCGGAGGTGTGCTCGGAAGAATGAAGAATGAAAGGAAGCAAGCCAGAAATCCCAAGAAATAAAGCCTAGAGCCATACATCGGGCCGACCTCATACTCCTGAGAATCGGGGTCAACATCTCTAGCCAAGGGCTGAAGATCCTTGAAGAAGTGGCGGATCCATGCAGTATAGGAGGCACGGTCCGTCCTTACTCGACGGGTCCTTCTCGCTGAACCATCAAATACAGAACTCCATCGGCCATAAGCTTGAAGATTTAGCTCAGAGATTGGATCAAAGAGTCATCCTCAGGGGGTGTCCGCTCAGGGTAGAAGGCATCAGGGCCGGTCACTTCCAGACGCAGCAACATGAACACATCCTCGAGGGTGGGCCCCATCTCGTGCTGGCCAAGTATAAAGGTATGTGTCTCGGTGCTCCACCGAAGAGCCACGGCTTCAAGGCTGGCATTGTTGCGACGGATGGATAGGGATCGAGATATTTTTACCGGGATTAATAACCAGGCCTCTTAAAGCCGCTGACAGAGGCTCCTGTCCAAGAGGACATCATCGACCCACTCCTGTCAACCAAAAGGAGGGTTTGAGAAGGCCATGAACTGAGGATAGCAGTGTGGAAAGTCCCCTCGCTCAATCCTAAAGCGTAGCACTGAAGAAGGAGAAATAAGGGCCTCATGTCCGGAGTCAGTGTCCTCAGTGAGACATAATGAAGCTCCCTTCGGAGTTAGAAGAGAAGTGGTGGAGGTTGCCGCCCCCCAGAAGGGGTCCTTCTGACCAAAATAAGGAGATTTCCTCCACTTAGACGCCGGAGGTACATCCCTCTCTTTCATGAGAGTCGGTTCTGATGACCCCGAGACAACGGGTTTCTTTCGAGAAGACATATGGCTGAAACAACAGGTATAAATAGCAAGTAGTTGACTGTATTAAAATTCAGAATATTGGAATTGAAGCAACACATTTGAATGAAATTTCGGCATCAACTATTCGTTTCTCAAAGAATCCATGAATTTAACAAATTCTACGAGGAAGTTTTACACCAAGAATTCAGGCACGATGTCTACTATGCTAAGGGTCGCAACAATCAGTCATTTTTATAATAATATTTACATGCAACATGATAGGTTTGTCGACAAATTCAACCTTGGACGTCATCAACAATGCACTTTCTCGGGTATTCACAAGATCAAAAAACATCAATATATAGCTCTATTCTATACTACGGTTTTTTTTTCTCCCTCAAGTAAAATGCCAGAGTATTACAAGATTCAAAGTGCAAAATTATTATTCGTCAAATATATATGGTTTGAATTTGGCATTATTTTTTTTTTCCCGAAAACTACAATGATCAATTACTCGATACCAAAAATTTATGTTCAACATTATGAGTTCAAGATCCAGTAGCAGTGGTTCAGACACGTAAGTGAGCAGAAAAATTTCGTCATTCTCAGATTTAACAAGTTTCAACATCAGTGGAGTTTCATATTCCAAGTGTGGATTAAAAATACATTTTTTTTATCAAGCATTATCATCAGATCTATTATGTTCAAAGTTGGTGATTCAACTACCTCAGTAAAGCAAAATTAGCAAAATGCAAATTCAGAGCACTTCTTTTCTCCCAATGGCCAAGATTAACAAGGATTTAGCAAAATTTTATTTCTTTCTCAAAGAAAAGCAATGAGTAGCAAGCAGCAAATCAAGATTCAATATATATATATTTCAGATGTAGAGTCCAAGATAGCAGGTTTGAAGTATTCACCCATGGACTTGTGCTTCTAAGATTTACAAGTTTTAGCATTAGTGGAGTTTAAAAGTCACAAATATTAAGGACCAGCGGATTAAAGTGCTTGGGCTAAAAAAAATATTGGAATTAGAGACTACAAAATTTCTTTTACAAGAAGCTTCTTCCAAAAAAAAAAAACTTAAACAATACTTACCCACGGATTTGAGAGGAGATGGAGAACCACGACTGGAAGCAATGGCAAGACCACAAATGTGAGACGCATACACCCAAGGCCAACGCCAAGCTAAGCAGTGCTGGGCAGGCCCACACGCACGTCGCGTTGAAAGGGCAGCGGACAGTTGAGGACGAAGGCAGTGTTGAAGACGCAATGGAGTCGGCGTCGATCAAGATCAACAAGATTGAGCTAGGCTGGGCAAGACCACACACGTTGCGTTGAGTGGGCGAACGTGTGTGGTCTGCGTTGGAACCGTTGAAGCCAACGGTGGTCGGAGTTGGAGCAGCGAGAGGCCGATGGCAACTTGGGCCACGGCGATGTAGTCGTGTGAACTAAGATCTGGGTGACCCGAGCTCTAAAAAAAATATACATATATATATCATAATCAATAAATACATATATATATATATATATATTCGAAATGCTTACCAAAAGGAAAGATGAGGAAGAGCGCTGGACAGCCGTGACTGGCGGTGAAGTGGAAGCAGAGTGAAGCCAACGCCGAGCTTCGGAGTTGCTGGGCAGTCAAGGTCGGCGTCGGATGTAACAACGCAGAAGAGTAGTGACGTTGCAGAGAGGTTAGCGTCGTATGGGTCGGCACAACCGAGCTCCGGAGTGTCTGAATCTCTAGGCTGAAATGAAGCACCTACGGTGAAATGGAGTTGGCGATGGCATAGAATAGCAGCATCCGGGGTTGCGATGTCCGCAGTAGTCAGAACTGGAGCGAATCAGCGGCTGGGTCATGGCGTCTGTAGCAGTCGGAGCTGGGTCTTCAGTGACGACGGCGGCGACGGGGCCTGGAGCCGCGATGGAGGTCTGCGCAAGCGGCAGCAGCTTTGGCCTTTTGAGCAACCGGTGTTAGCTTAATGGCTATGGAGCTTCGTTGAAGAAGAAGGCAACCTGGGATGGGCTCTCGTTTTAGTGAGAGAGTGTGTACGCCGCAGGGTTCCAAGAAAATAAAGATGTATTGATTAGGTCTTTATCCCTTTTCTTTAAAAAGAAAAAAAAAATAGGAGGTGTGATGTTGTGCGATGCTAGAATATTCCCCCAAGATATTTTTTAAATGTGTATATCCATACAACATATAACGGCCTGCTGACTCCACTAACTTTCCAAACAAGGAAAAAATGTGTGAGTATTGTCCTTTCCAAACAAGGAAAAAATGTGTGAGTATTGTCCTTACATTTTTATTTTATAATATCAGTGGCACGAAAAAAAAAATAATAATAATAATAATTTCATTTTTATGCTTGTCAATTTTATATGTAAATTACGGTGCGTCATCAACTTTATCCATAGGCTCTATCGAGACAACATTTTTTTTTTTTTTTTAGGACGTGATGCGAAGCAGGGCCGAAGAAATGACAATATGCGTGTCTGAAAAAAATTTTAAAAAAAAATTCCTCATACACGCAAGGGGCAAATGTAAGAGGAGCTAATTTGAGTCCGCTAAATTAATTAGGCCCAATAGCCCAAGATTAGTGGGCCCGAATTTATCGCAAGTCCAAGATTGGTGGGCCCGGATTTATTGCCATCAAACGGGCTGAATCTCTCTAAGCCTCGAAAGGGTTTGGATCCACGAACTTAGAGACTTACTCGAGCCCAGACTCGAAAGGGTATTGAGCAAGCCTAGAGATCCGAGGCACTCGGACTCGAAAGGGTTCGGATCCACGAACCTAGAGATCCGAAGCACTTGACTTCGAATGGATTCAGACGCAATCTAGAAGTCGCTCCGTTAATGAGTCCCAGAACACTTGTGGGCTCGGAGCTTTCCGGGATCTACGCACCAGAACCATGGGCGTAATGGAGTTCGAACAAAGGACCCGATCCCAAGGACGGTGAGTGGAGATAAATTCACTCTTCGGTTAAACTAGCCTATACCCGGGTCGAGGTGGCATGATTTAGGGGGTCCCTGAGACTCGGCAATATTTACAACAGGACGTCCTCTGGGACTACCCCTGACCCTTTGGGATGATTGGGGATCATTGGTTAGGTGTGGCTAAGAAGAAGGGTTCGCCGAGGGGTTGATCTCCTCTTCGGGGTTTTCCTCATCCTCGGAGAGGTCACCTCCTCGGACAAGGTGGTTAGAGAAAATATTCCTCATGTGCTTTGCACATGGGCTCCATCCTACATCATGAGGTGTCTATAAATAGCACCCACCCATAGCTTTACAAGGGATGGATTTTGGAGAATTAACTCTTGGGAAAGAACTAATTTCCCTTCTCCATTATCAACCTTGAGAGTGAAAGTTGGAGATCCATGGGAGAGCCTTGCCATTATTCCCTCTCTAGCCATTTTGCCTTCTTCTTCACCTAATCTCTTATCTCCATCATCTCCTTCACTCTTGTGTTCTTAAGTTGAGACTATTGAAGAATCTAAGCCTCTCATCATCTTTTAGAGAATTCGAAGTTGTTCTTCAAGGATCTTCGAAGATATTTGAATTTTCCAACGACGTTCTTGAACCCTCTCATACACACTACCACTACCACTTACTATTGCAATAATTAATCATGTCGATCTTGCATTAATTTTTTCTTTTTAGTTTGATATTCACTCACTCACTCACTGATATCTATCTATCTTCTTACAAGTCCTTCGGGTTCGCAAGTTTGCTTGGTCAGTTCAATTTGCACAAGCTCGTATCCTTTGTCAAAGAGAATGGATTGATGCAACCCTCCGAATCTTCATGGCTGAAAACCCTTGGAAGACACCTTTGCAACAAATCCTTGTATGCCCTCAATTTCTGTTCAGAGCTCTTGATAACTCCTAATGATACTCTGCTCCTTAGCATAGAAGCCTATGGTGATGACAAGACAACTCGAAAGAACGCACTTCTTCATCACAAGGCAAGGGTCTTTCACCTGGCCTCTTTGATTATAATATATAAATGTGGTGCTTCAAATGTTATGCTGATGATGACACTTTTGAATTTCGTTTGCTTATTTATTTATAGATTTTATTCATGTTTTTATTTATTGCTTAGCATTACTAACTAAATTTTATTTCTGTCCAGCTGTGTTTCTGTAGTCTCTTCTTTTCTTTTCTTTTATTTCAATTTCTATTGTTTTTCCAAGTCTAATTTGTTGGTACTTCTTATTATCTGACATTGTCATGCCAATGCATTTTTTTTCTTCTATCCCGGTACCTATCAAATATCGCTAAGCCATGAAAATTTCAATGGTTTACACGTTAAATGTTTTTGTTTTGCGATATATACTTTCTTTGCTGATGCTTTTTATTGGAAATATATTTGTGTTTCTGTAGTCTCTTCTTTTCTTTTCTTTTATTTCATTTTCTATTGTTTTTCCAAGTCTAATTTGTTGGCACTTCTTATTAACTGACATTGTCATGCCAATGCATTTTTTTTCTTCTATCCCGGTACCTATCAAATATCGCTAAGCCATGAAAATTTCAATGGTTTACACGTTAAATGTTTTTGTTTTGCGATATATACTTTCTTTGCTGATGCTTTTTATTGGAAATATATTCTTCTATTTTGCTTGATGAGTGTTGGATATGAATGCCTCTGCAGTTTTTGCATCACAATCTAACGGTGGAGGCATCGTGGCCAGATCTTTTTGTTGATGATCTTGGTGGTTACTGGGATGTACCATTCTCAATGGCAATTGATCTGGCTTCAGTTGCTTCTGACTCTGGTGCAAATTATCATTTTTGCATCAATCATAATGCGGGACAACCTAAGCAGCATGAAGATCAACTCACCAGTGGAGTGGCGATGACTCTTCTTCCTGGTTTGTTCATCAAAAATGCATTTTCTTTTAAGAAAAATGTTGATATTTGGAGAAGCAAAGCTCCCAAGTTGAAAATGGTGCAACCATTTGACATACTCTTGTCAAATCCTCACATCTCAGCATCAGGGATACTTGGTAAGATACTACCTATTTACTTCCTAATTGCTGTCATTTGCTAATTGAGATTTTCTTATATGTCTAGCTTCTTGTTCGTTGATCTAGTTGAAGGAAATGACACTATTTCAAGGAAGTCAACATTTTCTTTGTGTTGTATCTATATCATGCATCTGACTTCGAGGTCAGACAGCTGAAGCTCTCATTTTGTTGATGTCTTGCTAAGTTCATTTTTCCCCTTGCCAATGATCCTAAATTTGTTGGAAGGATTTATTATGTTTTCCACTACCTCTCATTGTTATAAAACCAAGGTGTTGATCTGATGGTTGAGCTCATTAGATCCCTATGCTGGGAAGACCAGTTATCTTAGCCACTTATAGAACTTGCATCATGAAATACTGAGTTGTATAGAGGGTGGACATTGGCTTATCCTGTCATGCTATCTACAATGCTTTTCTTCTATACTTTGGTTCTGATGGTTTTTTCCTTGGCAATTTTTCAGGATATCATAAAAATATGGATTTGGTTATGGTCTTTTTTCGTTAGGGTCTTTGAGGAGTTCTTTGAGAATGGTGTGGTTAATGCTTGGACCAATGCCTCTTTTATTTGCTTTACTCCTAAAAAAGGGAGTTCAAGAAAATTAGTGACGTTAGGCCTATTAGCTTGATTTCATCATTGCATAATATTTTGGGGAAAGTCTTATCAAAAAGGTTAAGAGTTGTTTTGGGAGACACTATTCCCCTAGTTCAAGGGGCATTTGCGGAGGGCCATCAGATCTTGGCCGTTGTGTTGTTGGTTGCTAATGAGGTGGTTGAAGATTATAGAGGGTCTAATAAATAAGCAGGATGTAATTTAAAGTGGACTTTGAGAAAGCTTATGATCATGTTGATTGGGTTTTTTTGGATTACGTGCTTAGAAAAGGATTTGGTGTGAAATGGAGAAAGGTGGATTCGCAGGTTTTTGTCTTCTTGTAACATGTTGATCATTGTAAATGGTAAGGCAGGAAAGAGTTTTAGGGCTTTAGGAGTCTCAGGCAAGGCAATCCTACGTCCTCCCCTTTTCTCTCTACTTTGGTGGTGGATGTTTTGGGACGAATGGTTGATAGGGCCTTGGAGGTTGGTCTTGATGATGGATTCGTTGTAGAAAGGGATTGAGTTTCTATCTCACGTGCACTTTGTAGATGACATGACCTCGGGTCTTAAAATAATTTGAATAACAGCAACATTGTGGGCATTAGTTTTTAGGAGGATGGGTTATAGAGGCTGTCGAGTCTATTGGAATGTCTTGTTGATCATCTTCCTTTCAAGTTTATAGGGGGTAATCCCATAGTGGAGTCATTTTGGGCCCGAGGTTAGAGAAAATTTCTAAGAAATTTGAGGGTTAGAAGAGAGCATTGTTTTCTAGGATGAGGTATACCCTAGTGCAATCAATGTTGAGCAGTATTCCAATCTATTTTTTGTCATTGTTTAAGATTCTAGTTGGGTTGCAAATAAAATGAAAAAAAAGATGACGGATTTTTTGTGAGAGGGAAAAGATGAAGGGAGAAGGGATCATTTGGTGAATTGTGAAACTCTCTCTCTCTCTCTCTCTCTAAATAAAAGGGGGTCTTGCCATCGATAATAATGGGAAGAAATATTGCTCTGCTTGGAAAGTAGTCATGGAGATTTTCCTATGAGTGTAACACTCTGACATTTCATTATTAAAACTAAATGCAGGGCTCATGTAAATGGGATGGATTCTATTGTGGTTAATGGGGTAAATAGTTGGTTTCCGGGGAAATCCATCTCTTGCATCCTTCCTATTTTCTTCCGCTTCCTTTCTTTAAGGGTGGAAAATGGTATGAGTGTTATTTTTTAGGAAGATATTTAGGTCGGGGATTCTTCCTTTGATGTTTTGTTCCCATATTTATACTATTTGGTTTGCTCTCATAATGTTTCCATTGCATCCATGGATGGCTCTTTCCAATTGACACCAATATTATATAATTAATTTTTTTTTTTTTAAGATTTTAATATCGCAAAACTAGTGAGTTGGCATCCTTGTTGAGTATTCATAAAGGTTTTTTTCATGAGGACTAATGTCAATGATAAATGACAAATGGGTTTGGTCAATTCATTCTTCGGGGATTTTCTCAAGCAAATTGTTTTTCGACAAAATCATTGATAATTATAATGTTCCTCATTTTCTCTATCATTCTAGAATTTTGAAAAACGATTGTGCCTCTTAAAGTTAAGGTTATTGTGTGGACTTCGGCTCGCAAGAGTCTCATGACCAACGGCATTTTTTTAAAAAGAAGACCCAATTGCAATCTCACCCCCAATGGTGTAATGTGTAGGAGGAATGAGGAATCAATGGATAATTTGTTTTTCCGTTGTCCATTGGCCTTGTTTTTATGGCATTGGTTATTCCAACTAACAGATGTGTTAGGTGGCTCCAGCTTCTTGCTCCCAATTACTTTTAATTGACTTTAGAGTTTTCGGTACCAATAAGAAAGGCAAAGCTTTGCGGAATGTTGTCCTTTGTTCAATACTACAGGTTACTTGGTTAGACCACAACACAAGGTAGGGTTGTCATAGTAATTGTGGACCCGCTTAAATCGACCTGATCCAAGAAGATACGGACTGTTTCGAACTACTGAATGGTTGACTCTGGTTTTCTTGACTCTGATTTATATTTAATTTTTGAATCTTCCAGGTGGCGATTGATTGCCTTTGGGATTATCTTTCATGCTTGTGTTATCTCTTATGTAGCTGATTATTGACTGCCTGTATTCCAAATTTCAAAATCTTTTGAGCATCTCTATTCTCTCTCTCTCTCTCTCTCTCTCTCTCTCTCTCTCTCTCTCTCTCTCACACGCACACATTCACACATTCCAATGTCCAAGAATAAACATAAACACTAGAAACACACATGCACTCTTTCATCGGCGTTTTTTCCTGATTGTGGCATTTTGAACATTTTAGTCCCCACTTTAGGTGTGTTTTTAACTTTATTTTTATTATAGGGTAAAACGGCATTAGTAAAGTCATTTTTCAAAAAACGGTTTTTGAAAAAACCGTATTTTGTGATTAAAATAATAATAAATTTTGGACACAAAAAACGGCTTTAGAAAAGCCGGTTTTACTTAATTTTTAATTAATTCAGAATTAATGGTTAAACCGTTTTTACATTATTTTTTTTTTTAATTTATATTTTTCAACATAAATATTTTTTTTTTCCAAATTTTTTTAATAAAAACCGGTTTTTAGAAAAGCTGTTTTTGCAATAATTTTTTTTAAATAAATATTTTATGACCAAAAATATTTTTAATAAAAACCGGTTTTAGAAAAGCCGTTTTTGTAATAATTTTTTTTAATAAATATTTTATGACAAAAAATATTTTTTAATAAAAAACCGTTTTAGAAATGTCATTTTTACATTAATTTTTTTTAAATAAATATTTTATAACCAAAAATATTTTTTTAATAAAAACCGGTTTTAGAAAAGTCATTTTAGAAAAGGGTTTGCTTAAAACCGGTTTTACATTAATTTTTAATTTTTTTTTAATTTATATTTTCAACATAAATATTTTTTGACCACAAATATTTTTAATAAAAAATGGTTTTAGAAATTTTTTTTTTAATTATTTTTTCTCACGTGGGAAGGTTGGACTTGGGAATGAAAAGATGAGTAAGAGAGCAGCAATTTCAATGCATTCAAAGATGGGTCTCTTTAGAAAATTACAGCACAAATAAAAATAAAAATTAAAACGTAATGCTTGCTTTGAGTTTTCTAAAACATTTTATAGAAAATTCTATTTTCTTATTTTTCGTATTTTTTTGTTTTTGTTGAATTTTTTAATATTTTAAGTTTTTAAACATACCTACCATAAATGTACTAAATACCAAAAATACAAACAAAAAAAAAACGAAAATTCATTACATTTTTCATATTTTTGTGTATTTATTAATTTTTGAAAATATTTTTTTACAAATATTTTACTTTTTAAACACATCTAAGTAAAATGCATCTAAAAAAGTAAAAAAAACATGCTTAAAATTTTAAAAAATTTTAATAAAAATAAAAAACTCAGTTTTCAAAAAACTTAATTCAGAAAACTGAAACTTAGGGCTTGTTTGGTTTGTATCTCAAGATATAATTTTTGAGAAATTTTTTAAAAATTTGTTGTAGTTCAAATTTTTTGAAAATAAAATTCCAAAATCACTTTTCAAAAATTTTCAAAATTTCAAAGTGTTTACAAAACCCACCCTGGAGTGGGAATAAATATTTTATGTTTTAAATATTTATTTATTTTTTTAATGTGCACTATATTTCGGGGCTTTTCCCATATGAAGCCAAATTATCATCTTAATTCCCAAACTAGGCCTAGTTTGGACGGAATTCCCAAACTAGGCTAAAGCGCTATTACAAAACACGCTTTCACTGTTTGGGGCCGAAAATTTGATGAACATTGAAAGTGCTATTAGAAATCATGCTTTTAATTAAGAAAACGTGGTTGCAAACCACGCCTTTAACATAATTTTTTTTTAAATTCAGAAAGCGCTATTGGTAGTGTAGTTTTTTGTAAGAATGAGAACGTTATTTGTTATATTCAATGAATAATAGTTACATTATTGGGTTCTCACGATTGAGAATATGAACAAGTTAAGAGAATGTGTATTTCTCCTAAAATAAATTTTGTCAATATTTTTGTAATAAAACTTAATACATAATATAAGAAGTCACTAATTTACTAAATACTCATACATACATGAAAACAACATAACTGAAGTTGCAAATGTAACAATTTTCAGTTACATAGGTAGTACAGACATAAGTCTCCCACAAAAATACATGCTGGACACCATGAACTGAACACACAATACATACATCCTAGACACCCTGAATTGAACACACAATACATAAACATAACAGTTAGACAGACAAATATTAGGCAAACAATCTGACAAACTCATTACGGAAACACTTAGTCTAACACAGACATTACATATTAATACAAGTTGTTATATTGCCGAAGTGTA